ATTAGCTGCATTTCATTTTTTAAAGCAGCCTGTGAGTATAAATCTAGAGGTTTTTAGTATTCCTTTTTCATTTTATTATACATATAGGGCAATATTTAGGCCACCGAGTTGAAGCAAATCCTGAAGTGTGATTATCTTCTCATTGAAATGCTCTCTATTGTGCCTATTTGTTTGATGTGTTTTTCTTGTACGTTGTATTTCTGATGGCTTTGGGGTAAAATAATCACTATATGTCACCCATACTATCTTTTTTAATCTCTGGAAGATTAAGCATGTTTATTTAAAAACCCCTTTGATAGTGTCTTTACTAACTCAGCTATTTTATAAAATTGGAAATAATGAATCAGGGAGATGCAATTTTGATAATGCCATTTACACAACTCCTATGAGGCTAGCTAGGAAAATAACTGTAGTAAGTAAGTATCTGACATACGCATAGTGAGAATGGGGAAAATATTGTAATTTCTTGTAGGTTATGAGGCACTGGAAAAATACAGTCAGCAAAAGCAGCTCAGTTAATGAATCGCATTCTTCAGGGACTGCTGGACTCAGGAGATGGGTCGTGGGATCAGGAATGGTTCCTTTAATCTCTTTGTCACTGGTTCAAATCCAATATCTGGGTCACTGGTTCAAATCCAATATGGATAGATAGTAATTAGAAGTCACTGTTATTTGAGGGCTCTGAGATGAACCTTTTGAAATGGAACTGTTGAAGGGACACTGCAAAACAAACCACCCCAAAACCTGGAATATCTGAAAAAATCACATGCTTCATAACCAGTAGACAGTCTTCAGAAGGGTCTGCAGAGAACAGCCACTTGTGATGCTTCCTGAAGCAAAGGTTACACACCACTGGGAAGTCCATACTACTCGCCTGCAATTACAGCTCTTGCCTGGTGCTCTAGTTTGTCTAGGTGGGCCCATGGAACACCACTCCTCCTCACTCATCTTGAGGAGGTTGTTAAAGTCCCTGGGCTCTGGGAGCTCTCTAGTGGCCAGCTATCCTCCACAAGCTGGAAAGACAGGGCATGCTTTATCCTGTGGGCTTCCCGAGTGTCAGGTGTGACACCACGCTGTGGTGTGAGGACTTCTGCTGTCCCTCACCAGTCTGCAGTGTCAGACTACAAGAGGGAACTGGGAGGTCCCAGTGCCCCCGTGGTTTGTAGTGTTTAAGTTATCCCAAAGGAGTGGTGCAGAGGGGGCCCTGTGAGTGGAAAGGCACATACAGGGCATCACATGCCAGTCAGCACTCCAGCAGGCTACCAGAAAATGTGCTTTAGAAATAAAATCTATAAGGCTGAAATTTACTCAGAGTGGACCCATGAACTGCTTAATACCTGACACTAAGGGATTTAAATTTATACTTTATTTTTTTTCTCCCTATCAGTGCAAAATCAGATTGAGGGGACTTCTGAGTCAACCATGGGATCATACTCTCTGCTCTCCCAAGAAAACACTTCTTGACAGGAGCCATGTTAGTTGGCACAGGACTATGTCTTTTGATTATATATACCCTTGTTTTCTGAAACTGTCTGCTTTTAATCTGTAAATTCAAATTCTCTGGAATTCGTATAAGACTGTGGAAGGATCTTTTCTTTTTGTGAAGTACGGTGTTCTGTAGCAGCCAAATCAAAGACTGGAGAGATTAATCTATTTCAGCCATCTGAAACTGTGATTTGGCATATAGTGAGAACAGCTGAGACAGTAGGGGGAATTTCACACAGATTCTGTCCTGCTAGCTGTTAAAGCAATTCCATTTGCACTCTGCATTTCGTTGTTTTCTAGAAAATAAACTCACCAAGCTACCTAGATTAGCTGGTCTTGGAAAACTGAGGTTATTTTTAAAACAAAAGATATTCTTATTCCCTAAGGAGAAGAAAAAAGGAAGGAAAAAAACAACACTCAGAAGAACAGAAAAACAGGAGTTGAGTATCCTGCTAATTAAATACCACAGTCTATGCCTTGGCCCAAATGTGAACGACCCATCTTCGTAGCAAGGGGAAGAAACCCTGGCTCATATTCAGATATGTGAAAGCACAAAATTTCCAATAAGCAAGACATATCTCACCAGGCTCTGGAAATGCTTTCCACAATGACCTGCATAATTAAAGTTTGCATTGGCTTCTTGGCCCAAGAGAAGTTAATGGCAAAGCAGCTGCTAGCATCTATTAACTGTATTTAAGTGCTGTTTATAGGGAAGCACAGAGGTGCCTTTTGGGCACTGGGAAGTAAGGTATAAATACATGTTAGCCATTATCAACATGCATACTTAAAACGAACTGCCTTCAGGGTCTGGAAGCTGTAGTCACATATTTCAGGTGTCACTGATAACTATACGTGTAAAAAGAGCAACCTATCACAGGAAATATACTGTAGGGGATGCTTTTGCATTTGAATATGAAATGAGGCCTTCACTTAATAATCATGTTTCATGGACCTTTCAGTCATGTTGCCTGAAACATCAAAACAGAGAAATTATCAATTACTTTCATGTCAGGGAATTCATATGAATGTTTCAGAAATAAAGTTGCATTTTTTTCCACTTCCTCTTAGAAATTTTACCTTTTTCCTACTCTAAAATATTTCCCTGTATGTCAAATCTCAGTTTTTACTAAGTCTTTTTGGCAGGCAATTCTTGCTTTCAGAAAAACTAGCAAGCACCTGTGACAGACTTTCATGATCTTTTTTTTATTTGTACCTGGGCTGAGTTTTGAAAACCTATGAGTAGAGAAAGAAAGAAATTAAGGAGGCAAGCAAGCAAGCAAGAAAGAAAAAGTTTGGAAAAATGGGACATTATATGCATTTCATTTTTGTAATACATTTAGGGACAGAAAGAAAAAAATGTGTAATGAAAACAGGAAAAGCCATTCCGTAAGCTGTTGATATAGTGTGTTGGTTTTCCTGTGGATTTGAATTTGTGGTTGTTTAGAGCTCTGATGGAAAATCCCTAAGTGCTGGAACATTTTAAAGTGTTTATTTCTTGCATGAACTTTTTGATGTGTAAATGGGTGAATGTTCATTGCTGTCTCTTCTCCACAGAGCCACTGATAGGGTCTTACTCTTTCTTCTCAGCCTTCCAAAGTCTGTTCTGAAGATAGCCAAGAAATCTGTAGAGCTTTCATTATTTCTGAGGATTCTATATATTTCACTTAGGCAAGAGATACAAATTTGAGGAAGCAAGACACAAACCGGTATGCAAGCAGCACTCATGATTCTTTAAATCATGAGTTTTCATTGATAAAAATTTATTTCTCTCATTGATGGCACTTGATGTTTCAGTTTTGCTTTAGATTTCTTGAAAAATTTAGCCAAAATGTAAATGAATGCTATGTACTAGTGAATTCTTTTTTTTTTCTTCCTTTCCTTCTGTTATAACATTCGGTCTGCTCTTTTTTAAGAAACAGAGTGTCAAAGAAATGTTCCTGCCTCCTCTGGTTCCAAAGCAGATCTTTTGTTTGGCCTGTCCTGAGCTGACCTGGCATATAATGGGCTACTGAGGAGCCTCAGTTCAGAGCTGTCATTGGCTCCAATGAGAAGCTCTTCGTGGCTTTTGCTGCAGAGATCAGGATGACTCCTGGACCTGGACTGTCAGTACAGATGGGAATGAACTCTTTACTACCAGATGGCAAAACACATTGACTAAGATATAACAAATATAATTTGCTTTTGTCTGTCACTGAGGAAAACTTAGTTCACCATTAATTCAACTATTCCTTGTAAGCCATTCTTTTTCAAGAATGGCTTTTCTCTGTGGTGTAGGCAAAACAAATATTCCCTCTGGGATGAATCCCTGCTCCTGCCTCTCTACAAGTAAATGCTCTCCTCACTCTCTCCCAGCACAGAAAGTTGTTCTGACAAGATTGCTGAAAGCAATGGGCTTCACATGACAGATGTTCAACAAGGAAGCCAAAGCAAAGAGCTACTTGACTTACTGGTGCTATCATACTTTATAAGTAGCAAATTGTTACAGGGACAAGATGATAAAGAAGTGCATCTAAGACATAGCAGGCAGTCATGTTTAAAGGTCTTCTGTCTTGCAAAAGATCCAAGCAGGCCTGGCATCTGCTTCAATGTCTACAGCAAAGACCTTTGTACGGACACAGATGTCAAGCAGGGGATCTTTGATAGTAGCTGGAGGCAATACATCTGCCTGCTGCCTTTTGCTAATTTTCTTTTTAGGTCAAACTCAGACATCGAGCAGCCTGGCTTGCCCAACACACTTGGTACAAAAGCTTCCCCTGCCGAGGTTCTTGCCAAGAGTGGACAGGAGATCAACTCTCCCCAGAGGGATTGCAAGTAGGCTGGTGAGGAGAGAGTGCTGCCTCTGCTAGGCTGGTATGGGCTGCTTTGGAGTGGCTTTCTATGGAAGCAGAGATGATGGTGATAGGCAGCCTTGTGTTCTTTGCTCTGGAAGATGTGGCTTGTCCTCCTTCCTGAAACTTTAGCTGTCCTCAGTTTGACAAAGACTGCTAATTTTTATTTTCCAATTATACCAAGGAATAGCATCATTATCTAGGAAAGCAAATAAGACAGTTTAGTGTTTCACTATAACATCTTTTCCCTCAAATATGGTCAAAACTATCTAAATACAGTGGTGTCCCTGGTGTAATCACAGACACATCTATGGTTGGGCAGAGAAGTGACTGATAGCAGCCCTAAGGAGAAAGGCTTGGTGATGGTTGATGAAAAATTCAATACCAGCCAGCAGCGTGCTCACAGTCCAGAAAGCCAAGCACATTCTGGGCTGCATAAAAAGCAACATGGCCAGGAGGTCAAAGGAGGTGACTCTGTCCCTCTACTCTGCCCTCGTGAGACTCCACCTGGAGTACTGCACACAGTTCTGGTGCCTTGAAGGACATGGAGCAAATCCAGAGGAGGGCCATGAAGTTGATAAGAGGACTGGAGCATGTCATCTACAATGACAGGCTGGGAAAGAATCACAAAATATTCTAAGTTAAAGATGACCCACATGGACTTTTGAGTCAAACTCCCAAGTGCATTTCCTGAACAGGGTTTGAACCCACAACCTTGACACACTATTAGTGCCACGCTCTAACCAACTGAGCTAATCCCAGGGTTGGGGCTGTTCAGCCTGGGGAAGAGAAGGTTGCGTGGAGACCTCATAGCAGCCTTCTAGTGTCTGAAGGGGACCTACAGGGAAGCTGGAGAGGGGCTATTCCTCAGGAACTGTAGTGAAAGGACAAGGAATAATGGGTATATTATTCCTGAACCTGAGAGGGGGGAAATTTAGCTTAGATACTAGGAAGAAATTCCTTACTTTGTGGGTGGTTAGACACTGGAACAGGTTGCCTGGGGAGATTGTGGATGCCCCAACCCTGGCAATGGTCACAGCCAGATTGGATGGGGCCTTGAGCGACCTGGTCTAGTGGAAGGTGCCCCTGCCCATGGAAGAGGGGCTGGGACTAGATAATCTCTAAGAGCCATTCCAACCCCTTAACATTCTATGATTCTGTGATCCAGCATAGCCAGAGAACAGTCAAATCAAGCCTGAGGATACCATAGAAAAGAGAGAAGATCCAGACCCACAGAGTAAGTAGCCTTTGATGCTCTGGGTATGTCAGGTTAACCTTTGAATGTTAACTAAGACACTAACTGATATTTCTAACAAAACCAACATCCAAGTGTATTGTGACATGCCAAATAAATGTATCACAGTAGCGCCTCTAGCTATTGGTAGCAGTAGATGAATACCAACTCTCCGTTAAACATGTTGTTTTACATAAATCAGAATATTTTGCAGAACTTCGAATTTTACTTTTTACAGAGAAAATTCAAAATACAATGCTGGAGAATTGAATTTTGATGGATTGTTTAAAGCATTGTAAACAATTCCTATATATTATCTGTGTATAATATATTAGGTATATTAAAGATGTACAATTACAACACTGAATGTCATAAAAAACCAAAATTAAATGACTCAGAGGAAAATACTTTCAATGATCCATTACTGGCTTTTTTTATTCTTTTTTTTAAGAATTGGCAATTGTAGGAAATGGTTATTTTAGGAGTAGTTTTTATTCTAACTAGGAACAAGAATTATTGAAATGCAGAATAGTCCACCAGAAAAAATTCTGTTCCCAGCTGGATCTTTCCACTGGTTTGAGTGACTTATTTTGGACACTGCTGAAACAATCCATGGCAAAGTCGTTAGATAGCTCTAGGAATTTATGCAGGCTATAGACTCAGTTGTGGGTTGCTGGTTCAAATCCAGAGGGCCTGCATAGCTACGAGGAATTCTTGATAGTATGACCTCAGCCATGTGGTATGAGTTTACCTCCCTGGGTGTAGGTGACAGTAACAGAAATAGCATTAATTAATTCACTTCAGTATTTCAGCCAAGGTCTGGCATGACAAAGCAGGGAAGCCTACTGTGCTCCAGACTGAGGTGGGCTTGCTCCATGGATAAAAATGTAGCTTCCCTATTCCAGGTTCAATCCAGGTTTTATTAGCGTTACTGCTGTGATGCCAAAGGAAAAGCTAGCAAGAATAAGAAGAAAGCATCAGAGTAGGTAATTGGTTAGAGATGGTACCCTGGGAAGACAGGGACAAAAGGCAATGAGCTGTAGCCACACAATCCAAAGGAACAAGCAGTCAGCACTGGATTAGCAACCAAGGCAACATTAAAAATTTAACTACAGTGCTCACAATAATTTAACCATACTATTTGGAGCACAAAGCTAATGGTGATACAGTGAATGAAGCTAGAAGGTGGTAATATTCAAAAAGTTTGTAAGTGTCAGCACATAAAAGAATCTCAATTGGAAAAGGCAATGTTCAAATTTTTTGTTCTTGTTTCCTGAAAAACACAAAAAGCAGATATTTACATTTTGGTAGTTGCTATTTAGTATTTTCCAGCCATGAAGGGGTGGGCCGTTTCAGAAGTTCCTATTGACATCCAACTTACATAGTGTGATAGACCAACACATGCTGTCTTTGAAAACTGAATAACAAATGTTTTTGCTGTTTACAAGTCAGAAGTGAAGGAATGGATCTGAGCTACAGACCACCCACCCAAAATACACAAAGCTCTCTCTGCATGCCTCACCTGCAAATTCTGCCTTCATCTAAGTTAACATTATAACTCATCCTAATTCACAGAGGGCTGCTAAAAGAAGTATAAAGTGAGAACATAGGAATGTGATAGCTCAGAACAGGCTCTCAGAATTTGTTTTATCGCTTGCCTACACACAGGGTCCTACCACTCTACTGCTGTGATTAAAATCGTAGAAACCCTCTCTAAGGATTACACCCACTACTTTATCACAGAAGATATTCACCAGAATTAAATCCACAACTGTCCCATGTTGCATTCTCTCACTCTGTGAAGTTAAATGGTTTTCTAGAAGTGACTGTGTAAAATGGCTGCTGTTTTTACACCTGACATGCTTTGTGTATGTATCATAGGCAGAGCTTTTACTGTGATGCCAAAAATGGATTTTTACAATCCTTTATTTGCACTAGCATTGAGGAGTCCATACAGTCAGGAAAAAATGAATTAGATTCGATTGTGCCTCACATATCCTGATTGAAGCACTACTGCAAACTCCAATTGCAGCAACAAATTCTGCTAATTGCATTGTGCAAACTAGCTACAGAGCCTGGGCTGAAGGAAAATTTAAACTCCCAAGGAAAACACATTATGATATTACATACTGCAGGGCTGCTCTCAACATCAAGTTTCAGTGGCCCACCAAATTAATTGGCACAGTCTTGGAGCTCTGTGAATTCCCTCTGAGCTGGAAACTGTGCAGGTCCTAAGTGCCCACCTGGCACTGGGGATATTTTAGTTAGCTCTGGGCTAGTTCTAAGTGCACACTACAGGAAATGGTTTCAGCTCCTATTAACAGCATTTCTCTGAAAGAACTATATTTAAGGAGTTTAGTAGAGGCACTTAGGGTAGTGGTGAGGGTACAACTGTAATATTTAGGATTTGCTCAGTTTATGTGCAAAAACTATGTCAAGATAGATTTCCTTCTGCGGTAGGCAGATGAGAATGGATCCAGAGAGCCTGGATCCTAAAGTCATCCCTACATCTCTAAGTATGTGTCAACTGCTCTTGCTAAATTTATATTGGTCATACTCAGCAGAAGGGTAGCCCCAACTGTTTTGGATCTTATGGATAAAAAATAGTTGTCCTTTGGAGATGCTAAAAGCAAGGCTAGATTTGTCTTTGTTTGACAAAAATGTGGTATGAATAGTACCGCTCCACTTTTTGTCTCAAAGCTTCACCTACGTATCAATGCAGTGCTGTCATTAGTAATACCACTCCAGGGCATCTTTTCTGAGTTAACAAAAATATTATGCTACTAATACCACCCATTTCACATATTGATGTGATAAAAGATTATTTGTACTGCTTACCTTCTGTGTGGTTTTATATTCTGTTCCATTTTTTATATAAGTGAAACCTCTAAGCATTCCTGCCTTGAGCCCCTACTTTTGTGCAGGCGGTCTTTAGATCAAACCCAAAGAAAAGCTGAATAATCATATTCCCAGCAAGAACGAACGCCTGGCTGGCCCCATGGTTCAAGGTATGAAGTTTGGTCCATGAGCATGCAGTGGGCTTTGTTCAACGTGTATACAAGGAGCATCCTTGCCAGGCAGTGTGCATGCTCCTTTCCACAATTAGCAGGGTGGTCTGGCCCCCAGCAGACTGGCAGGGGTTCCTGCCTCCCCTCCACTGCTGAGCTTCTACGAGAGAGCTAAAATGTTAAAAAGTGAGTTTATTTGGATTTCCTTACCTGAAAAGAAAAGATAGCTACAGAAAAAGTGGTTGTGATTGGATTATATTCTATCTCCTTAATCTCCTGTGTCTATACCAGGTCTGCAGCAGTGACACACTAACACTGCTAAGACAGACTTTACTCTTCAAGCCCTTCACACTTTCTACTCATCAACTACGACCTTCCCATGGATGTGATTGGATGATTTTTCCTGCTCATTCCTGTTTGTCATGTCCTCTTCTTTGAGTACTTATCTTTGAGGAGCAGAAACTAGTCTTGGCTTGCTACTGAGAAAAACACATACAAAGAGGTGCCTTCTACATCTCCCTCTGAGGACCTCATGTCACAGCCAGCAGAGAAATTGGCACTAAATTGCTGTAATTGAATATTTTGAGGCGTGAGCTCCATCCAGCCTCAGTAAGTGTTGATAGGCAAAGACTTGCAGTAGAAGTCACTGAGGAAAGCTGCGCAGAGCTGATGTTGGCCGGTGACTAGGAAGCCGTAATCCCCTTGGATCGGGACACAGCCATGTGCTGAAAGGATCAGTCTTTGGTTTATAGAGAAAATTATGATTCTTGCCAAAGCTCCTTGATTGTTTCAGACAAACTACATTCATCAGAAATACTTGTTTTTACGGGTCATTCTTATTTTTGAAGATTATCTTCTGAAAACGAGAGCCTCCTTCTTTGCTGTCCTTTTGATACACGTGATTTTGTTATGCACATCTTTTCCCAACTGATAGAGTAGTGTTGTTTTAGAATTTCAGACCTCCTCTGGATTTTAAACGTACTATAGCAAATCCTCCTTGGGATGAATCTCTTTGATAGAAGCAATACTGCTTTCAGTGATTGCACTGAACATAATCTAAAAATATATTTACTGATTTTGCAAGACTTTAATGAGCTTTGGAAAGTTTTCTAAACTATTTAACATCCTTCCAAGAAACTTAGTATAAAAAGAAAATGTTACTTATATAAAACACATCAGGATGCCATGGAGGGAAGAACCATTTACTGTGCTCAAAGCGGATTTAGGACTCAACAGTGTGCTGAGAAAGTTAAACTGCCTATTAGCCAGTGCCAGCTGCACCAGAGGCTGTTTTCAGATATATTATATATTATAGATATATATATATTATATATATATTTAATGGGCAGGGATCCAGCATTACTGTCATGTCTACTTCCATCCTTTGCCTGTCCCTGCAGTATGTAGCAGTATTTTCATGTTGTATAAAGCCTATTTAGTAATGAAGATCCTTTCTTGAGCAATTTTATAGCTTTGAGACTTAAGCAAAGCAAAAGAAGAAACACCAGCACCCCCCTCCAAA